CTACTCGCTTGGCTTGTATGAGGATCCGGCCTTTAGCCGGCATACACATGCCCGTTAATGATGCTAGATGTATACGTACACCTTGCACGCTATAAGACTCGACCATGTGTGCACCCGAGTGCACACTTGCCATGTTGTATGCCTAGCACACAACTTTTCCTACCTAAAAATCTTAGCACATCGGGTACCTTACATGTGGTCGGCTTCGATCGAAGGCCTTGCATGCCTCGTGTGCCTAGCGTGTGATAACCTGGGGGTTTTGGTCGGTTGCGTGCCTAGTACATGACTCGCTTGGCCAATATGCCTAGCTTTTCACACAACTAGCATGTAATTACCTACTAGAAGGCCTAGCCTATCGCTCACTTGGATGGCTAGGAAGGTTAGCATGCGGCTAGGCATGCCTAGCTCTGTTACGTCCCTAGCGCATGACTAGTCCGGCTTGTGCCTAGCTTGTCATATGCCCGATGCGCAATCTGTCATTCTTCTTCTCGTGAATGCGATCGCTAACGTCCAATGTTGGCCTCAAGTGCCCCCACTCTATTTAAGTCCAAATTTCAATTTAAAGCATATATAAAATACTAAAAACACAAGATTTATAATTAAGAATGTTTTATTCATGCAGTTAGTCATAATTAACAAATCATATAATCAAAAATTCAATAAAAGCTCGATACTAATTGAAGGATCATGCATCCTATGAAGGTTCGGAATAAAAAAAAATTTCTCCAAGATGATGTTGTTCAATCAACTAACTATATATGCATGAATTAAAGAAAATATATGATTATGTCTTATAGCATAGATTTTAATCTCAATAGAAAAAGAGTCTGTCTAAGCGTCCAACATCTATTAATGAACCACGTAATCCAAGCACCCACACAAGCACTCAAAATCGGTAGAGTGCCGGCTCCACATTTTTTAATTTTTTTTTATGTTTTTCTATAGAAATCTAGTCGTGGAAAGTTTTGTGACAACCTAAGAGAAGGAAATGTGGTGGAAAAATTCTTAAAGAGAGAAAAATATTTGCTCTCTTTGTCATGTAGCCCTATTTCCTTTTCCCTTGTTATCGTGTGTTCTCACTCTTCCCTTTGTAGCCTCCTCTTTTTTTTATTTAAATGTTAGTATATAAATCAAAGAGAAATAGAGCTGGAGGACCGATAGGAGTAGCATGAACAAGATTTACAAAACGAAGGGAATAGGCTCCCAAAACAAAGCAAAATAGCTAGAGACTATAAGTTGTTCAAGGAATCAAACTAACGATAGAGATTCCAAGAAAAACCCTCTAAGAAACCGAACTAGCTAACCGAAACCATATACAGAGGCTCAACAACATACAAAATATTAGCCGAAAGGCCAAAGTGAACAACTATACATTTACGAAGCGACTATACGAGAAGAAAAGAACACAAAAAGCCGTAGGAACGACAACGAACCAAGGCCAAACAAAACCGGAACCCGGGGAGGCCGGCGTAGCGGCCCCTAAACAACCTAAGCCAAGAGAGGGCAAGGCGGAGACTCCGATTCGGTAGCCTACAGGAAACACCAAACCCGGCTAGTAACCACACACTACAACCAACCAAGCCCCAAAAGAGAGCCACCGAGAGAGGAAGGCCTAACCAATATCCAAGAGAGTAGGATCCTTATGGTGGTAAGAGAAAATCATGAAGAAAAGTATTTGGAACCTTTTGAAGGTGTGGGCACCGACCAAGAGCTAGCCTTAAAAATCCGTCTATTCCGCTCACCCCAAATTAGGTAAACAGCAATGCTAAGGCAACCCCGTGCATCCCGGAAACCAAGTTTTTCAGCCGAGTAGATAATCCTCTAACAAAGCACTCTAAAGAGTAGACATGCCTCTAGTCAAATGCAACCATTGTTTAATCCAAGCCCACAGAGAACTTGACCAACTACAATCAAAGAAGAGATGATTGTGGGACTCAATAGCTTGGTGGCGGAGGGAACACAAGGGGTCCTTCGAAATATAGTGTAGCCAATCACGGGTTCGCAGCTTGCCCTTAATAGCCAACCGGAGAATGAAAGCATGCCGAGGCAAGGACCATTGTTCCCACACCACATGAACCCATTGTACTTGATCCCCTTTCGGCTCGAAATACTCATAAGCATACCGAGTGAATTTCCCAACCCCGTCTTGCCAACTTTGCATCAAATCAACAACCCGCACACTATCCCCATTCTGCCGAACTAAACGATTTTTCGAGGCGGTGATGGATTTCCACAAAGGAGAAGCTTGTTTATGCGCTCGAGACTCCCACACCGAATGATGTCGAAGGTAATAGTGGTGTACCCACCGAATCCAAACCGAATCCGACTTGAGATAGATATCCCAAAGTCGCTTTGCAATGAAAGAGGCATTGCGAGAAGGGATATCAAAGAGTCCTAACCCACCGTCCTCTTTAGGCCGACGAGAGGTGCTTCCAAGAAATAAGGGCGATCTGAATTTTTTTGCATCACCCGACCAAAGGAAATTCCTACGGATGCCGACAATGCTAGAGATAATCGAGGAGGGAGGGGGAAAATAGATATCCAAAACCGAATCATGCCGATCAAAACAAACCGAAGGAGCTCCAACCTACCGACAAAAGAGAGGTGCTTCCCCATCCAACCCCGAATAGCACCCTCAAGCTTCGAAGAAGAGGAGAGAACCGACCGGACGAGTAACCTATGCGAAGCTAAGAGGGACTCCCAAATATGTAAAGGGAAAAATGCCTTCCCCGAAACCCGAATCTTGAACAATGGCAGCTTTCACACTATTACCGACGCCCCCAAGATAGATAGAGGACTTTGCAGCATTAGTAACTAGCCCCGATACCTCGCCAAAGACAGTCACTGGCCAAGTAAACATTGAACCGATCGTTTATTTCCACAACAAACAAGTAGAACATCATCGGTAAAAGGCAATATGACTTATACCTTGAGCCTCACATTTTGAGTGGAAGTTGAATCCGTCACGTGCGTAGCAATCCCAAGCATACGAGAGAAATATTCCATACAAATAATGAAAAGATAGAACGAGAGAGGGTCACCTTGTCTAAGCCCACTCGCCCTAGAAAGAAGCCAAAGAGCCTTCCATTCACGGCAACCGAGAAGGAAGTAGACCCAACACAAGCCATAACCAATGTCACAATGAAAGGCGAAAACCCAAGCTAGATGAGTACAGCTCTCGGAAAATTCCACCGAACCGAATCAAAGGCCTTGGAAAAATCCACTTTAACCAAACATCGTGGAGATGCACGCTTCCTACCATAAGATCGGAGGAGCTCCCGCACAAGGTGAATATTATCATACATTTTCCTTCCCCGAGGAAAGCATTCTACATGGGGCCGACTATGCCATTCAAAGCCCTAACAATACGGGAGGAGAGAAGCTTGGAGATAACTTTGTAGATGACATTACAGAGCAAGAAATAGGTCGAAAATCGAGTCAAAGAGGTAGCATGGGCTGATTTAGGAACCAAGGCTATGATGGAGTGATTAACTCTGCTTCAACAGACTTTCTTAATGAGAAAAAATCCCTCACAAGCTTTACAAAAGTCGGCACCCATAATGCCCCAAGCCTTTTTATAGAAAAGCGAAGGAGAACGCATCCGACCACTAGAGCCTTAGTGCTATCAATACCAAAAACCGTGTCCTTAATCTCATCATTAGTAACGGGAGAGAGCGACGATGGCTTGATTGACTTGATCTAGACAAGGGCTCGATGCAATGACATCCAAATCTAAAGGTAATGTATCCTTGGCCGAACCAAGGAGGTTCGGAAGTAACCTACAAATTCCTCCCCCAAGGCATAATGAGAAGTGGTGACATGGCCATTACAGCCACCGAACTACGGCTATGAAATTTTACCGGTGATTCTAGGCCATAAGACCATGAAAGAAAGGAGTATCTCGATCACGAGTCTTGAAGGAACTTATACTTGAGCTTCGGTCAAAGAAAGATTTTTTCGCTGCTTTGAGGTTAAACACATAGAGACAGAGGCTTTTCTCCTCGGCTAGAAGATGAGAGTTATCACGGTCACTCCGTAAAACTTCCTAGTTGAGGAGGAGGCTTGCTTCTTCTCTATCAACCCTCTCAAAAATATGGCTGAAATGCAACTCGTTCAACTTTTTCAAAGGCCACTTCAGCAATTTTAATTTCCCACAAAAGACATACATAGGGGTTCCCTAGATGATAACTCGCCAATGCTCGCTCAACAATGTGAAGGAAACTATCGTGCGAAGTCCACATGTTACGGAATTTGAAGGGAGATGGCTTAGGGGCGGTTTAGGGATTCAACCGAATGGAAAGGCTGCAAGCATGATCGGAGAAAGCACTCGGTGTGCTATAATGAACAAGTGTAGGCGACCGAAGAATGGCCTAGTTTGGATTGGCAAGAACTCTATCAATCTTTGTCCGGACAGTTCCTTTATTCCATGTATAATGGTTACCCACATAGTTTAGGTCACTCAAACCCAACTCATTGCAACGATCTCGAAAATCCGAGGTTTCATAGGTAGAGACAACTACCCCGTTACATTTATCATCCCGAGAGAGAACCGAATTGAAATCCCCTAAAACAATCCACGGGCCATTCGGATCCCATATGCGAAGGTCATCCCATAAAGCTTTCTCGGCAGAAATGGTATTAAACCCATAGACAAAAGTGGCATTGAAGATGTACTGCTCAACCGGACTAGAGAGCCGAACATTCAAGCCTTGTGGAGAAACATTCGAGCAATCAAGCAAAGCCGTCTTGGGGTTCAAAAAAAACTATACGGGCATAAGGAGCAACCGCAACATTGGACATAACATTCCAATCTTTAAGCCGAAGAGTATGCATCCGAGCAAGTTTAACCACGCTAAGCTTCGTTTCAACAAAAGAACACACATCCACTCGCTTCTTTTTCATGAGGCCTCGCCGCCTCATGCCGCTTCGGGGAGGTGTTAAGGCGTTTGACATTCAAACAAGTAGATTAACATAAAGGAGGTTGAGTGGCGAGCCCTCGCCTATCGCCACCCCTTGTTGTCACCCCCCACTCCTAGTGGACATCCTCTTAGAACCCCTGTCTTGGATAGCTCCTCTGCTAGACGGATTAGTAGCCTCATGAACAATAGAAGATGCAAGCTTAGCCCCTCTCGCCTCACAAGAGACCCCTCCATGCTCGTAGGAGAAAGCAGGACACTATGACTAGCAGCCCCAGCAGAACAGGCCGCCTAGCCTCCCCAAGTCAATCTTAGGTTCATAAAGAGCACCCCCTATTGTCTTGGCTTTCCCTTTCCCATGCCGCCCGATACGGCGAAGCAATTTGTCTTGTATTGGCGAAACATTCCGCCGTGGAGGTGGGAGTGGATGATCCGGCGCAGCGAGAGCAATCTATCTTGCAACGGTAGAAGCATTCCGCCTTGGAGGTGGTAGCGACCGATCCGGCATAGCGAGAGCAATCTAACTTGCAACGGCGAAGCTTTCGCCTTGAAGGAGGTTAGTGCCGATTTGGCGCGATAGGAGTCCGAGGTATCACTCGCCCTTTCTCCTTACCATTTCCTAACCAGCAGCATTACTCTCAAACTTAAAATGCATAGGGTCATATCTCGTCGGCTCGATAACACACAAGAATCGAAACAGATCGCCTACTCGCTAGCTACCATTTTAGCACATGCTTGAGTACCTACAACCACAACATCGGCAGCCCTACTCCCCGCCTCCTCGGATTCATGGGGCATAGCTTTACATTTGGAAGTCCCATGGCCTAGGACTCTATAATGTTTGCGAGTGAAGAGGCACCGTTTCATAAATCATAGTTTGGTGCAACTTGGTCCTATTTGGCAAATCAATACTCACCACCCCTGGCAGGACATCCATGATATTCATCTCCATAAGTACTTGGGCAAAAGAAATTCTATCCATGGAAGTCATCGGTCGGTCACATTGTATCGGCTTGCCAAGCAAACCGGTTATTTTAGAGAGGCTATCGATGGACCAACATTTCAAAGGAAGGTTGGGGAATTTCACCCACACGAGAACCGTTGACATATCCCCCGGAGAGAAATCAAAAAATTTCGACATTGATTCCGGGATTAAGGGCCGACCATAGATTAAATAAGGACCTCCATTCAAGACTTCTAGCTTCACGTCCTCGGAATCAAAGTGATAGACCGACCGACCGCAGTCATGTAGCGTTAACTTGGCTTTACACTTTCAAGAGTTAGCAATCATAGCTGTGAGAGCCCTATAACCGGGAGATTTTCCAACTATATAACCCATCAAACATAATTTCCACTCATTATACTCGTGAATTCGCGACAAGCAAAGTACATTTTTTACTTTCGGTGATATTGGAGAAATGTGAGAGTTTCGGACGTAGTGAGGGCTACGGTTATGCATAAATAAATGTCTCCAACTAGGTAGTGGGGTAGGATCACTTACCGGGAGGAAGGGACGAGCATCGCCTCCCGCAATACTCGGAGAAACTAAAGGCCGAGCTTTCTTGGAAGAACTAGCTACATTTGCACTTGGCAACGACAGCAGGGCCGGCTCTATACAAGGCAGTACTCGAGGAAGCAAGTCGGCAAGCTAGGGGAGCATCGAGGGAAGCAACGAAGCATGTGAAAGTAAAGGGAGGCTCACGTTAGGTAGAGGCCGAGTTGGAGCTTTCATCAAACATGTGGAGGGCAAAGTACTTGGAAACCCGGTGTTTTCCATGGACATTAGAAAGGTTGCCCAAATGCAAATCACTTCGTTCGAAATAGAATGTGGCCCTCGTATACCGACTTGTTATGCATCAATGGCTTCAATGGAGCCCAAATCGGAAAGGGGAGCCCGAAAGAACTTTGACTTAGAAGTGTGTTCCGCTTCGAATCCGAGGAATTAACTTCGTCCGAGTGAAATCATCATCATCCGAGCAGGTCCTCTACCGCTACTCGTCTCAAGATCGGGAGAAGGGATAAGGCGATAGGACTAGCCGATAGCTAGATGAGGAACCGAGCATCCAAACAGGGAGTCCAAGGAAATCTAAGAAGTAGCAGGCGCCAAAGGCGATTTTAGGGCAATGATTGGGGCCTCATAATCCGACCGGATGGAGGCTGTATTGGTCGAGTAGTAGATTTTCTTTTCTTTTTGGCCATAAGTGAAAGGAGGCAGCACATGAATGAGGAAGGAGCGGGCGAGTGGAAACAGGAAAAGGGGAGTACGGAATAGAAAATGGGATGAAGTACGGGGTGGAGAAGATGGATGCTCGGGAGCGCCGATCGGTAGGTTGCTAAATCGGGGGGAAAGATCTCTATGGAAGGAGGAGAGCACCTCTCTCTTCTTTCTCTCCCCTAGGCTACTACTAACTACCGAGAGCTCTCTCCTCTTTTATTTATATGAGGGGTGACTTCCTTGTCCTCTAAGGATAATGAAGGGGGAAAAATGATTCCCTAAAGGACTCTTGGTTGTTGCTTCCTAATTCTCCAAGGATTATAAGTCATTATGTATCCGAGCTTTTAGATTTTATCCTTTTAAACATTCATCTATATCTAATAAGTTACATGTTTCTCCTCCTAATAAAATATATTTCATGCTTTTAATTAAACCTATGGGCCCTATTAATTAATTTTGACTATCCCAAAAAATTAGCTTAGAAAATTTATGAGGCCCACATTAGGAATAATTTCCCCAATTACTCTTAAAGCTAAATTAGGAAACTAATTTTCCTTTTAGGTAATTTACTTTGAAATTTAGAATTTACTACCAAATTAGTAAACTAATTTCTAAAACAGAAAACTTTCCATTTTAGAAAACTTTATATTTTCAAAAACCTTTTCCAAAATAGGGAACTTGAAAACTTGAAAAAAAAAATCAAAAATTAAAAACTTTTTGTTATATGAATGCTTAAACTTTTGCATGTGACTCAATAGGCTCCTAAATATGTTGGCAATATATCAAGAATAAATGATACCTCTTTTATCTCTCAATCAATAAATCAAAATTGACCTCTAGCAAGGCATCATGACGACCCAATTCTCTAGGATGATTAATTAATCCGTAATTACTTTTCACGAGTATGGTTACCATAAATTCGGTGCTCATGTCAACTTATCATAGTGTGATCTTCAACTTCATTATTAGTTTATTCAATTGTGATCATACAAGTTTTCTTCGATTCCCAAATGTTTTAACTCTTAGAGTAAACCAATTACACTTTGTTGATGTACTCCTACTATAGCCGTAGATTTCTTAAGCGGACATTTCTTAAAGTGCAACATGATAGCTTATTTACCATACAAGGAATGACATATCCTATCTTAGTCATCCATCTACCTTTATTAGATTCTTAGTGCACCCAATGAATCGTCCACATGTAACTCGGATCCATCGAAATGAGTATGAAAATATATCAATCCTCTAATGAGATAATCATGATGACTTTAAGTCAAAGGACCGATTACGATTATCTCGTATGAGATTCCCATAAACTAAATCAAATTGGTTCTTATAGCAAGTAAAGTCTTGTTATATGTTCTCTAACATAAATTAAATAAATGCTTGCTTTGGCATCATTATGCCAATAGGTGTGAGATTCCTTACTACTATCATATAGCATGAGCATAGCATTCACAAGTCTAAGTGTATATAATTAATATCCATTCTTGACAATACTATAACTTGACATTTAATGATATCATTTATATGCATTAATATTTATCTTACATATTTCAATCAATCACTAATGCAAATGCATATCATATGGACTTCTATCTAATGTTATTCAATAAATAAATATAAAAAAATAATTAATAGAAAGATTTATTTTATTATTAATAAAATAAATAATGCAATGATAAAATAACTCAAGCCTATCCAAATTTCATTGGATCTTGGGCACCTACACTAATAGAAATGACATGGAAAGAGAATGGGGATTAAAAAAAAAAAAAAAAAGTTAAAGTGAAAGCATTAAGATAAAAAGAAAGTATTATCTAGAATGACTCCTATCTTGATTCAAAGTTAGAGAAGGGATAAAAATCCTAATAAACTTGTTGACTAAAGTGAACATGAAAAGAGAGCTGAGATAATAAAATAAGATCAATTATCGAGATGATAACTCATGTCGACATGCCTAGAGTGATTTTTTATGTGTCAAATGATATGAAAAGTGAATTATGAAAATGAAAAAATTAAGGCAACATGCTTAAAGTGATCTTAATGGATAATTAAGTGATCCCGAGTCTTTATACCCTTAAATACATTTGAGCCTTTTATATTCTTTCGTTCACAAGCCTACCCTTTAGCCTTCATTACATGACTAAGAAATCCCTTTCGATCAAACATGACTTATTTGTGTTGATCGATCCTTGTTTTAAATGAAAAGAATATTTTTGAATAAAACTTGATTTATATGTTCATTATAAATCATCATTTATGACATTGAATCAAATATTTTCATCAAATAACTACAAGCAAGAAAGAAATGAATCAAGTATTTCTAGACAAGAATAGCCATTTGAGCCTAACTTTCTTTAAAAATCTTTGAGTTCATAGAATTCACTCGAATATGTTGTGCTTTCAAAGCAAAATTTTGAAAATCACATTTCAAAATAAATTAATTCTTTTTATAACTTTTATGTGATCACCATACATTTTGATCATCTAGCTTAAAGAATCAACTTGAGGGTTACATCATGCATTATCCCGATAGGTTTTGGCTTTTGACCAAGTAAATCAAACATTTTCTCGAATAAGATTACATTCCTATGAATATCTATATGATTTCTTTTAGATAATTCAACTTTCCTTGAGGAAAATTTTTTAAATAGACAACATAATCTATGAAAGTTAAATAAATGAAATTGATTTTTTGAAAGTTTGAAAAATCTAAAAAAAAAACTCACATTATTAAGCACAAATGTTCAAAGAAGATGAACGACATGAGTAACAACAATGAGAGGTGGATGACAAATGGATGATCACTAACAATGCTTGAATGCATGTGATGATCATATCGAAGTTGCAAAATTGTTCCAACATTAAAAGGTCAAACATTTCAACTTCCCTCATATCCAAAGCAAGAAGGAGATAATGTGAGTTATGACTAAATATTCATTAGCTTGATCATTTGACTTCACTACTTCTATTCTTGATTTACCTAACATAATAAGATTCATAATCTTTCATCTCTTAAAATAGCTCTTATTTTCAAAAGTTTGATCGAGTCTTTATAAAAATAAAATAAAAAAGAAAAACTTCTTGATCTCATACGCGATCTTGTGATTGATATCATACATGAAATGTGAATTGGCAAATGATAACATGATAAAAATCTTACTTGGAGTTGGTTAATAAGAGTTCTTCCTCTATAAAATCCGATATAAGCTTCCTCATGATGAATTATATAGAGTTGAGACAAAACGTCACCTCAACCATTTTAGGGCCGGAGTTTTTATAGATGTTGACAAAAGAATAATGATATCTTGTTCAATCAGAGGAATGGACACCTCTCAATTAACCCAAGCAAGTGGTCCAAGTAACCATCCCAATGAACATAAGAGCAAAGGACATAATTAGAAATGCAAGTGACAAGCTCAATAAAAGTAGTTATGCTAGAACTTTGAACCTATTCAAGCTAGATGAAACACAAATGAAGAAAAAATATGAGGGATTTATGCCTTGACAATATGACTTATGATTTTCTAAAGACTATAACATCGCGACTTGTGTTCCATTTTTTTTTTTTTTTACTTCA